GACTTTGAATGCGGTCTAACGGAAGGAGTTGGTACTGTGGCGCTCCTGCCCACAGGTGAGAACAGTATTCCATGTGTGGCCTCACTTGAGCTTTATACAGTTTCAGGCGGTTTTCTGGCGTGAAATACCGTCTCACCCTATTGAGCACCCCCAACTTTTTGGAAGCTATCTTAGCTTTTTCCTCCAGATGACCGCAAAACTGGACGTCGCTAGATATATCGACGCCAAGAATCCCCAGACTCGACTTATTATCAAGGGAAGTGCCCTGAAAGTGAGGTGATACGACAAACGGTGTCTTTTTTGCGGTGAACGCGCAGACTTGTGTCTTCTTAGGGTTAAAGTGAACAAGATTGCGTTCACCCCAGATCGAAACTTTATCGAGTGAAGTTTCGATTTCAGACACAAGTCTGTTCCGGAGCTCATCGGTATGTGCCCGCGAGATCTTTGCATGACCGGTGTATAATGCATCTCCTGTACTGTCGTCCGCATAACAATGAATATCACTGATCTGTAACATATCATTGATATGCAGAAGAAACAGTGTCGGAGATAGTACACAGCCTTGCGGGACACCAGCATTCACAGGTTTTAAGTCAGAGCATGCTCCGTCGACTACGACCTTAATGCTACGTTCCTTAAGAAAGCTGGCGACCCAACTGCACAATCTCGCAGGCAACCCAAACGAAGGTAGTTTTGAGATTAGTGCCCTATGCCACACCCGATCAAAGGCTTTCGCAATATCCAGACTAACAGCTAAGGCCTCTCCCTTATTCTCGATTGCCACTGCCCATCGGTGTGTTAAATAAACTAAAAGATCACCAGCCGAGCGTCCCCGTCGAAAGCCGTACTGGTGGTCTGAGATCAGCTGGCGATCCTCTAGGTACCGGAGCAGTTGATGGTTAATAACTGATTCCATGACTTTCGAGAATAAGGAAGTGATAGCTATGGGCCTATAGTTAGCTGGATCTGAGCGGTCTCCTTTTTTAGGGATCGGATGCACCAGAGCAGTCTTCCAAAACTTTGGGACTATACCTGATGAGTAACAGAGCCGAAAAAGACGCGTAAGAACCGGAGCCAACTCTGGTGCGCACGTCCTAAGCACAATTGGAGGAATGCCATCGGGCCCGCTCGACTTATGGATTTCAAGGGAGAGAAGTGCTCTACGCACTGATCTTAGCGTGAATTTAACATCCGGCATAGAGCTCCTACAACGCGGGATGGTCGGCGGTAGTTTCTCCCCGTCATCCAACGTCGAGTTTGATGCAAAGAGAGATCCAAGGAGATCGGCCTTCTCTTTGGCGTTCAGAGCCAACGAGTTATCCTCCCTGCGCAATGGTGGAAAAGATGACTGACAGAAATTCCCTTGTGCAGCTTTGGCAAGAGACCAGAAAGCTCGAGATCCCGAAGGTAAACTAGCCAATCTCTTGCCAATTCTACCAATATGCTCTGACTTCGCTGTGGCCAAAACTCTTTTGAAGGACCTAGAGGCAAAGTTATACTTCTTTTTAAGGGCACTGATGTTAGAATCTCGCGATGCCACACCTTTGGCCCAGGCTAGGAAGCACTCCTGTTTCAGGCGAGATGCTATTCTACAAGAGGCTCCATACCAGGGCTGGGATTTCCCACCGACAGGTACCACAGAGTTAGGAATAAATAATTCCATTCCCTGGAGCACCACATCGGCGATGGAATCGGCGATGGCGTTGGGATCCCCCAGTGCGAAGCAAACCTGCCTCCATGGGTAAGATGCGAAAAAAATCCGCATCTCATCCCAGTCTGCCGACCTGTAGTGCCAAACACGACGTCTACCCGTAGAACGTGGTGGAATCGGACTCATGAGAGGCACCTCGCTCCGCACCAGACAGTGATCCGACGATCCAAGCGGAGCTTCGACGGAAATCACATAGTTGTCTGGGTGGGTGGTCAGCAGAAGGTCCAGCAGTGAAGGTGAATGGTCCAACACATCAGGTATTCGCGTGGGCGAGGAAACAAGCTGCGTCAGACCATAAGCCAAAGCAAAGTCATGAACAGATCTTCCCGCATAGTCGGTTGTACGTGAACCAAGCCATTCGGTATGGTGGGCATTAAAATCGCCAAGAATCACGACTTCAGCGGAAGGAATCTGTTCGAGCAGGGAATCTGTAGCCATTTGGACGTGCTCAATGAGTTGGTCGGTTTCGATGTTACCGCTGTGGGACCTGTATAGGCATGCATAGACGCGAGGATGGTCATTGCAGTCTACACGCAGCCATAAAACAGACAGGTCCGTTCCTTCAAGATTTCCAAGGCGGCGACAACAGATATCCTCTCTGACATACGCGCATACACCGGCACGCGAAACAAAACAATGTTCAAGTTTATAACCCGGGTACGTCAGGTATGAAGTTTCGTTTGGAGAGGATATCTGTGTCTCCGTTAGAAAGAGCAATGCCGGCCGCGCCGTTTCTAGGTGGTGGTGGACAGCGTTTAGGTTAGAATGTAATCCCCTGATGTTGCAGAAGCTCACATTGAGCGAAGGGGATGCCGTAGAAATATTGCTCCGTTTGCCCTTGGTTCCAAAGAGCGGAATTTTGCCCCCCCCAGAATACGCAGGGCAGCCCGAGCGTGGTTGCTCGAGGGAGGATTCTCCAGCAACATGGTTACTGGTACCTCCCTGGGGTATGTTATTTTTTTTTTAATTCCACTGCCATGGTTGCGTGTTGTAAGATAGGGGGACGGGGTTGGGGAAAGGATTTTAGGAATAGGAAAGGGATGGGTATGGGATGGGTTTGGGATGGGCCTCCGGACTCCCTCACTCACCATACGGAATGTGATCGCACTAAAAATGCAACCACTTAGCGTCGGTATTCTGTGAGGGTGTGGTACTTCCCCGGTCGAGCCGGCCCATTCATGCTGCAATACCATATAGGATTACAGCGTGGCTCTACCACAGTAACTGACTAACACTAACTGACCCGCCCTTTAATTCTCACTTATCATCCCTAACTGGTGCCCCGGCAGTGTATACCATTAGCGCAGGCGGGGTTACCATTCCATTATTATCCATTAAAAGAAACTCCCCTTATGGATAAAGTCTATGTTCAGTACTGGACAATTAACGGGTAATATAATAATAAAAACCAAAAAAAAAAAAGACTACATGCCACATGTTCACACCTCAATAAAAACAGCGTAGATTAGGTACCTAACTATGTACCTACTTGTCCTACACGAGAATTGATTCCGTTATTTGTGATTCACTCAGTATGTCACCATGTTGGTACGAATTCGTACTAGCCCATTGTTCAAACCAAATAAAACATATCATCGATTCAACAGTAAAATTTAAAAACTAATATTACGTAATGAAAGAAATATTTGAACGAGTTGGTACTTAAATACTTACTTATTAAAAATATTTATAGTTTTTCTATTCACATAATTATAATACCTAGTAACTTTTACTAACATAGTTTGTAAAGAAATTGTTACTAACAGAATGGACCAAATTGTAGTCTTAATAATAAAGTATATTATTATGGAGATGTCGGTAGGGGCCGCCCTAGACGGACGTATGTCGACCAAATAGGCGACGTGCTGAAGAAGGGCCAAATTAAAAGTACCCGTAACCGGCGAGCGTGTATGACAAGATTGATGAATGTGGAAGAAGCGAAAGAGGTTTGTTTGAATCGAAGCATTTGGCGTTCCATTGTTTCTGCCTACCCTAATGGGAGACAGGCGTGACAGATATGTATGTATGTATGTATTATTATTATATTAATAACTAATTGTTTTCGATTAAGTATAAAATAATAGCTCATTAAATTACGATTTTACTATTTATTTCTGATATGTCTATTTTATTTATAGTAATTATAACTTATTGTAGAGTATAACAAAGTATAGTAATAAATTAGAAATTATCTATTTCGAGATAAGAGACGTGTCTACATTTAGATTGGCTTAACAACCCCGTTTCAAACTTATATCAAAGTAGGTACAAAACGGCAGTTAACCAACAATAGATAGATAGATAGATAGATACTCTTTATTGTTTCCTCCAAAAGATTACAATAGTAAACTTATTATAAATATAAATAATTACAAGAAATAATCACAATGAGAAAACAATGGGCGACCTTATCGCTAAGAGCGATCTCTTCCAGGCAACCTTTGGATGGAGAGGAGTAATTATAAACAATTTGGTAGTAGGCACCTCCTATACCAATACCTCCTAACATTCAAGAAAATATTTGCAAAAAAAATGTTCTACCTCTAACCAAGTACTTTACAATTAAGTAAAAGTATGGGAAATAGATATTAAATCTCTATTTATTGTTGCATCTACGGGTGTGGCATATTCTTATTTCTTATTTATTTATTATTATATAAAGAATAAATCCTCTTTAATAATATAAGAAAAAAAAAACTATTTCAATTTTTAATTTCATCGTATTTGGAATAAATTCAGAATTAAGACGTGTTTTGTATGTCTTATAAAATTTTGTCCGTGTTTATTACATTAGAAATTAACCGTCGATGAGCGATTTAAATGTTTCTTCATTCGTTTAAGTACAAACTGTTTTTGTTTATTAGTGTTGTACAGATTCAAAAATATTTAGTTCTATTTTTTTAACTGTAACTTTACACTGACGTATGTGCACTTACTTCCTTCTGCAGAAAATTGTTATCTAAATGGAAACTAAACACGAACAAAATCAGCATGTCTAATCTAAATGCTTAACGGAAGTTGGCTCGACTTACTTACTGTTTTTAGGGCTTCACGTTTCTTCTTAAAAAATAATTTAAAACAATAGAAATACGATGTAAATTAAAAAAAAAGGAACGTAGAAAAAAATATATATTTTAATAAATGAAAGTTTGTAAAAATACGATCAGATAGGTCAATTAAAGTAGCCCTACTTTAATTCAAGGAATTTATTAATTGAAAGTTTAAAAAAAAGTTAATTAAAATTTTTTTTTGTAAAAAAACTAAATAATTATTTTATGTACACACTTACAAAAGAGAAACGTGGGGTGACACACCTCCGATCCTTTGTCAAGTTGTCAAATAATCACGTATTCACTGCACAGTATAATATCCACCGAGAAAATAACAATATGTGTCGAGAAAAAACTTTTTAATATAACTTTTTTCCGCTAAATTCAAATTTGAATGCGATAGCCCGCGCAACGCGTGTCGCGACTGCGCGCTCTCGATCGACTGGCCAGGTTCGGAAATTCAAGACAAGAATGTCTAATGTGATTGTACTGCGTATGAGCGAGAAGCGTTATTCTGTACTTATTGTATAATTTCTATTTTTTTTTTTTAATACAAAAGACAATATTTTCCTGGACAAAAACAAATAAATCTTTTTTTTTAAAAGACAAGGTAATCCACTTATTTATTTTATTATGATTAATATTACAGAAGAATCAAGAAAAAACAACTCTACTCCTTCTAATATAAATTTCTTGTAAAGGTGGAGTAAGAATTCAATGCGTCCTTCCCGATCATGAAAAGGAATCCTTTCTTTTCCCAGAATGTTGTAAGTAGGCATGGGTAATATGGATACCGATCTGATATCTATGTATTGGGTTTCTCTTGACATTGATGGCGGAAAAAGGTCATCACCCATTTCAATATCCGTGGAACATCTATGTATTTTTGTATATGTTAAAAGTCTGTTATCCAATATTATTTTTTTGGATAACACACTTTTAATATATTCGTTATTGAACCAGTAGATAGATACTGTAACTTAAATAGATATTGCTTACAAACCACTAGTTGTAAGTGACAAGCTAGAGAAACAAATATCAATACTTTCTAAGTATTTTATCTCGAATTTTTCTTTTATTGCTTTCTGATCTGATCAGCATAAAACTAATTAGGCTATTCTTCTTATTAGTCTTCTCTCTTATTATTATCATCTATTAAAGGTGATGGTGATGAGAAATATAAAAATTTTGCCCTTTTGGCAAGACCTTTTTTATGTCATGTTTCCTTATATGTTGAAACAGCCTTATCATAGATCAGCTCAAATAATTGCCAAATATAATTTGTATAATAATGTATAACAATATTAGTCATGTCGTGATACAAAACAATAAAATTACATACACAATACACATTGAGTACGGAGAATAGCTCTCGGCACACTTCCGCCGCTCGGCCTATCACGAACTCACTGCCGAGTGTTGTAAACTTGCCACATTACATTTAACACGATTATTAATAATAATAATTTAATAATAATTCTTTATTTAATAACAATTCACACCTAGTTACATCTACTAGCCACCGAACTAGGCTGAGCCTGTATCTCAGTGGTTAGTTAAAAACTTCCTTTGACTTAACATAAGACGGTACAATCTAAAATATAAATACACTCATTTGCAATGTTCAATTTACTTTTGGTGCAACATTGTTAAATGTGGGTAGCATCATATTATTTACTTACAATTACGATTAACAGTTTACCCACCTAATGTGCAATATTAGGTGGGTAAACTTATTAAGCTAAGTTAAGCTTATTTTACCTAAATGCCGTCTGCACAAAATCAGTAATTCATTCTATGGTAATTGCATAAGATTTTATAATAAACTGCCGGAATCTGCATTAAATCTGACAGAGAGGCAATTCAAATCTTATATTAAACAATTTTTATGTAAGAAAGCCTATTACAGGATAGACGAATTCATAGATGACAACATATCAAGTAAATAATTAGTTTATTAGCATACAACGTTATAATTTTATTTTCTCATTGCTTTCTTGATTTAATTGATTAATTTTAGAAATATGAAAGCGTAGCGGTTTTTTGTATTAATTGCCGCATGCATTCTTATGTAAAATGTGAATACTATAACTATCAGATGGCAATTGTGAGTAGCTTTGACGTGGTCTAGTGTTTTGAGTAGTCATGCTCACTAAAATGTCCAGACTTGTGGCGGCGTGGTGGGCCGGGTCATTGGGCTCCCTAAAATATGGTCGAGCGCAGTGATGGCTGGCTCATCCGTCATACTCGTGAACGGGTGCTGCTTGTAGGGACTGGTCTGCTCTAATCACTATGACTGATTTCCTCTTATTAATTGTTTAACCAGTTGGTTATGTATTCAATATTTTTTTTTTTTTTGAGTATTTAATTGAATTAGTGCTAATTGGTGGTTTGTATTCACACAATTAAACTTGAAAATGTAAAGTAATAATAAAATTATTTAAAAGAGCAACACGCAAGTTTCTTGCTCGTTCTTCTTGTGATGAGACAGCTTTCCAAACGAGCGGTAGATTAAAAAAAAATGTAATGACTTTTCAAAAGTGCTTCAATGTAAGTTTATTTGAATAAATGATTTCTATTCTATTCTATTCTATTCTATTATTTGCCGGTCATATTAGCAACCACATAAAGTATTGACTTAAGACAAATATTAATAAATTAATTTATATTATAGCATAATATTATTTTAAGCAGAGACTAAGTATTGTTAGACATAATATCAAATTTACAATGCGTTTCATTTAGAATAATTCATGAGTACATCTATGTTGTTTTTTTGTTAAGCATTCTATGAGTAATGCAGATGAAATATAATTAATTACTATATATGTGTAAGTAGTGTGTGTGTGTGTGTGTGTGTGTGTGTGTGTGCGTGCGTGCGTGCGTGCGTGTGTGTGTGTGTGTGTGTGTGTGTGTGTGTGTGTGTGTGTGTGTGTGTGTGTGTGTGTGTGTGTGTGCACGCGCGTATGTGTAAATTTACAGATTTATTTTTCAATTTACAAATTTACGTTCAAAATATAGTAAGAAATGACTTATTTATTAGTAATTAACAATTGCTCTGTAAATGTATAATCTTGATTTTTAAGCCAATTGGATACCTTTTCCTTGCATTTGTATTTAGTTAGTGAATAGATATTAAGAATTTTGTTTATTTTATTATAAAGAAAAGGAGCTAAAAAAATCTGGAATTTATTACAATAGTGTGTCCTAATTTGTACTGTAGAACATACTTTATCTTTTCTACGAGTAGATAAAATATTAGGATTATATGTTAAATTTATGTGCTGTGTTAATATTGTGTCCAATACAAAGAGCTGTCTAACTGTTAATACATCACTTATTGAATATAAATCTTTTGTGGGAAATCTAAATGGTTTAAAATTAATAACTTTTAGAAGAGATCTTTGTGCTCTTTCCAGTCGCAACAAGTGAGTTTTTTTTTGCTCCCCCACGCCCTTATACCGTATGTTAAAACAGATTGTGCCATGGCAAAATATATTGTTTTTATAAGTTTTGGATCAGTAACATGTCTCAAGGTTTTAAATATATATATTAGTTTGCGTATTCTCTCTGTCAATTTGCTAATTTGTGGTTTCCAAGTAAGAGTTTGGTCTAATATGATTCCTAGATATTTTATAGATGTTTGACTGTATAGAAGTGGGCACGTACATAATATATTGTTATTTTCTTTATGACAACTGTGAGCTTGAATTTTAAAAATATTTTTATCAGGAATATCATTATTTGTAATAGCAAATGTTATTAACTTAGTTTTGTTTAGATTATGTGTTAATTTATTTTTATTAAGCCATGTCATAGTAGTTTGTAGACCCTTTTCAGTATTGGTTCTAGCCTCTTCCCAAGTTTTACCGTGGAAAAGTAGTGACGTATCATCTGCATAAGTAAAAATTTTAACATTTTTTAGTTTTAATTCACATAAATCATTTATATATATTAGAAAGAGGCTAGGACCGAGCACACTACCCTGCGGCACACCGTAAGTGGTAGATACATCGGCACTTATGTGGTTTCCAATTTTAGTTCTTTGAGTTCTATCTGATAAGTAACTTTCAAAAAGCTCGAGAGTCGTTCCTCGTATACCAATTCTATTCATTTTCTCCAGTAAAAGGCCCACAGAAACCGTATCGAAAGCTTTCGCCAAATCTAAGAATACACCTATGCATTTTTCTTTGCGATCTATATTTACAGCGATAAATTCTGTGAGATTCGATACAGCGTCCGTAGATGATAATCCCGTCCTAAAACCATATTGATTATCAGATAATATATTTCCTTGTTTTAAATAAGATAAAAGCCGTTTATTAATTACTTTTTCTAATATTTTTGATAGGGATGATAGAATTGAAATTGGTCGATAGTTATCGAGACGGTCTCTGTCCCCCGTCTTATGGATTGGATGAACAACAGATATTTTAAATATACGAGGAAAAACACCCGTTTTAATAGACAGATTTATTATGTGGGTTATAACTGGAACTATGTAATCTTTGACGATTTTTATCAGTTTTGTAGATATGCCGTCCCATCCCGTAGTACTATCACTCTTGAGATTTTTTATGACGGTTTCAACTTCTTCAGTAGTTGTTTCCAACATAGCCATGGAGTTAACAGGTGGGGTGAAAGTATCTTTAAAAAGGGCTTTTTGAGAGTGAACATCATTATTTAATTTATCTGCTAAATTACTTCCAATATTAGCAAAATAATTATTGATCAAATCAACTGAGTTTGATTATTAAATTGCCAATTCTGTAATATGAAATAAAATATATGAAACAAATCCAATCAATAGGGTTTAAATTAAATATTTTTTAATCTATATTTATAAATTGAAATCATATTGTAAAAATAACTGCCTTGTTTAAACTTATAGGTAAACAGTTATCTGTACTACTAGAAAGCCTATTTTAATTTCTGTAAGCATGTATTTGACAATACGATTCCCATTTTCTACAGGATAGGGTTAGCCTAGTGTACGAATCAATGTTAAACCTTGCGCTTATATATTATATATTTATTATCGAAGTATGTTTACTTCGATAATAAATATATTTTTACTATTTTTACTTTACTTTTAATTAATTTACTAAGTTTATGCTCACACATCACTACTACAAAAATATAATAAGGTGAAAATGATTTAAATATTGTATCCACCGAAAGTTCTAAAACCGACAAAAATTTTATTTATTTATTTATATACATACTTACATCAATTTATTGCCCTATCATTCAATTTAGTAAATAGTTCAGCCGAGAAGATCTGGCAAAAATTTTAAAACCAATTTATGACTACAGACCCGCGGAATATCGTTAAGGTAACACATAGGATCTATGAAATGATGTTATAAGGCAGGGGGAAGCACAAAAGATCTCGATGGGTCGACGTGCAACAGCTTAGCTGACCCCATATGCGAATATAAGATAGATAAAAACCAAT